AAAATATATATGTATACGAGGCTAGACTCTCGCAAGGCGTTCGCCGGTCGATCGACCGAATTAAATAATAATAATATACCTGCATGGCTATGTATGATATGTGTACTACATTTATTGCATATACGACGAAGACCGAAGTGGATTATCGATTTACTTCCACCCTCGGCGAACGGCCTAAAAAATCTAAACTCTTTACGCTCTTGGAATGCGCGATATACACACATGCATAATAAAATATGTTATAATATATACAACACGTACGCGGCGGCATAGGTTGCGGGGGCTGGCTATAAGCATATAATAGTTCTGACGGATACACGACGTTAAACATGCACGCGGGTTATTTTTGGGGACATGTGCGAAATATTTCGTCGAGTAAAGATATAATATTATATAGACCACGCTGTGGGAGATAAAAGAAAATATAATGTAGGCGAGCACCGCGTGTGTGTGTGTATTATTGTTGTTGCCGACGTATTGCACAACAGCTGCCGGATGGAGAAATAAATAACAATTGGGACGTTCCCGACACCACCGTCACCGTCTACAACCCTATCGCGGATTTTTACCCTTTCTCGCCATTATCGTCTGCGGTGCAAAAGAAAAATACCATATAACATGTGTTCTACGTATGCGACCTTCGTATTTCAGGTAAAGAGAATAATGAAATAATAATTATGGTTGTTGATTGTTCGTGTTCTACTCTTTCACAAAAAAAAAAAAATCGTACTAGGTACCAATATTGCGTTCACCTTCCGCAGCCGCTGCAGACGTCGTCATCATCGCCGTCATCGTCGGAGAGGTCGACCTTCTGTCGGGGCAACAATACCGGCGTGAGATGACCGTGAAACTATACGATACTTACCTGTTTAGGTGCTCGCCCGGTTAAGAGGTTAATAAAAAAAACAAAGCCATATATTATTAAATTTATATGTGTAACAGCCTTGGACCCGAAATCTCCCCAGACGTTTCCCTTTCTTGAACCCTTAACGAAGGTCACTGACCATTTTTTTCTCTCGAAAAATTTCAATGTCGACCCCCGTGGTTTTATGACCGCGGAAAGCGTTTTCGTTTTCTACATGCTTACTATTATACTTGAGAACATTTTATTATTGTATTATATTATCATATTATGTATACACGCAATAATACGTCTGTCGTCACAGTGATGTGGTACCGGCTGCGAAGCAACGACTGCGTGCGTATGATAATAATAATATAAAGAAGAGTCGCTTCCCGAATGAAAGACAGAGGGGAAAAAAAGTGAAACCCCGAGGAGACGCCCTTCGGACGAAAACGCACCCGCAGGGTGTTTATAGACAAGCGCGCGCACACGCACACGAACGCAACCCCATTTTTGGAGATCGAAAGGGTTGCGGGTGTGCATACTCGCCTATATAAATGCAGCATATATATATATATATATATAAATATATTATCTATACACACATATATACAAGTACAAATACCATGTCGTTTCGCACCTGATGTTTTTTGCGCGCACCCCTCCACTCCCAGCAGATGGAAATCGGGTGTATAACGCAACGAACGAATGTATATAACAATAATATAATGTAACATATTATTATTACTATACATAATAATATATTATATTATATAATATACAATATACACTATTGTGCCCGCTGTAGCGGCGTCGGCACACCTGAACAAAATAATATAATATTGAGAATGGAAGAGAGAGAAAACATCCCTCGCCATTTCGTCGTCGACGGCGGGGGCGGGTGACGTAACCACCCGGCCGTCCGCATTAATATGTGTACCGTGTGACTACCGTCGTGGCCAAGTTCGGCGGCGCACGCAACGCGCAAACATTGACCTTATATTATATTATTATTATACCGCAGCCGTCGCCGCGCCGCCGCCTGCACCGCTGCAGCCGGCGGCGGATGGTTCACTGTCCTTCGTAGATCATTGGACTTCCCTCTCCACGTGCTTACCTACTGTGTAATAATATTTTTACCCTTGCCTATTGCACACACATATATAATAATATGTACATTATACAACCTAACCAACTCCGATCCACGCGAATGACGTACCTGACGTAGCATTGCGCGATAAACAGCGTTTTTATGTATTTAGTACGACGCAAAAAAAACATTCCTGTTGCTCCGGGTTAGTAGAAGTGTATCTACAACGAACGCTGTTTGTTGTTGTTTTTTTTCTGTGGTAACGACCAACTCGTTTTACCACCGGAAACTATGTACACGCTGAGACCGATTGCGATTCGTCAGGGTTTTACTATATATTTACATCTGTATATATAAATATATTTATTATACAAGACGTAATTGTGCGCTGCACGAATTATTGACCTGAAAATCTGACTAAAACTAAAAACGATTTCCAGTACATATTTCTATATTTACTCGAGCGCCCGGAAAAAATAAAAATTAGTCTATCATCATCGTCGTCTTATCCTATTCCGCAAACGACAACGCCACCTCGCCGCCCGAATTCCATCATACATAATATAGTATTAAAGATAGTGTGCGTACGTTTTATCTCGTGTCAATATTAAGGTCGAACAAATTAAATCATATTATTATCTCCGTGCTACAAAGTAACTTACAGTGTATTGTACACAGAGTATAAACAACATTAAATAATATGAAACGTAAGACTACAGATAGGTATACAATACATATGTTACGTTTCTAATAGAAACAATATTTAAAATTTAAACTGATTAAATCGTTATCAGACAAGTTATGATTGTAAACACGCACCACTACCTATCGTTTAAATGTTGTAAATTCATTGATTATATATTAAAATCGGTAGAAATAGAATTTTAACAACACGGTATTTTAATAGATGGCACACTTCAAACGTTGTACTAAACATACATTATAGGCTACAATTAATATTAGCTATTCTGAATTACTGCGACAAACAATATCAACAAATTATTATGGCTTCTCGTACGTGAGGAAAACGGCCACGGGCTAAACACGCGATTATACATATTAATATAAGATACAAAACGAATATCGAAGAAGCTACTGAAGTGAAAGTGGTACTGACATCTGTGGGTGCACGCGGCTCTTAAAGAATTTAGGATCCTTTCATTTTTATTTTTGAAAATGTATTTTAATTCTTTTTCTTGCACTACGAGCCACGAGGTCACATCTCATTACTTTCTCGACTAATAATTCTCATGGTACATCAAATTATAGCTACCTAGTACACTACAAATTAAATTAATTTATAACTTTATACGTATAATAAATTAATTATCGTTTACAGATACATTACTATCACATTGATTATTTTTGAGGCAATTTGTAAAATCATATTTAATACGAAATTATTGATAATTAGATATTGCTATAATAGACATTATACAAAGCTCGTAATTCGTATTTAAGGGTCAGAAATATCATTAAATACGGGCATTTCTCAATACTAAATTAATAAATATTACACCTATTAATATATTAAATTATAATTTTAACCAGCAGACTGCAGTTACCCAGTTGATGGACCATTGGAGCAGAGTTTAGGTTACAAAGCGAACGTGTCAATTAAATGTTTTAGGGGTCTTCCGGTCCAAGATTTAATGTTAATACTTAATTATAAAATAATTAGTTATGTCGGAAGGTCAGAAGAGATGTTGCTAGCGATGAAATGAAAATATAATCAAATTCACAAGAGCAGTCGAGCATTAAGGTATATGTTTAAAAGAAATTCAAAAACACGATTTCTAAAACGAAAAATTGAAAGACAGTGTTTGATGGAGAAAAAAAATTACCGTCATAACAATAACAAACGAAAAGTTAATAATAATCATAGCAAGCCGTGTGGTAGCAATATTCTCACGACGTTGCGAATAATGCCGCCGCCGACTAGCGTTGTGCGGTGGTTCCCCGCCCAAACCACGGTTAAGGTCGCGATGAACGTGTGTGCAATTTTTGCCGGTCTAGACGCGATCGCGACACTTTTCATCAGTGGGTTTCAAAACACACGTTGTCGTTGTTATTTTAATTACGAAAACATGACATAATTTTATCTGTTATACACACGTGGACCCAGTGTCATTATTGAAAATATTTATCACACGAATTATTCGATATAAATTCTCGGGAATGTTCTTTTGGGTGGCCGGACATTCGTGTGATATTATACTAGGTATGTATTATACTATTATTATGTAGGACACGTGTATTTTTCCGGACTATAATAAATTAATAATATACCAGTAGTTATGTAAAAATAGATGTATAGTGCCAAGTCGCAATCGCGCGCGACCTCGATGACGCTATTTGCCGATAAAGTATTATAGGGAAAAAAACGTTAACCAAGCGAACAGTAGTTGTCGAAGTTCAAGTTTAAATTAACGTATGACCCTGACGAAATAAAATGTAATAGCACTTGAAACACAACGTAGGTAATGACAATGAGTATTAACGTACTTATTACATGGTAATAACCGTGGGCCAGAATAAAAAAAAAGGTTTCCCAAAACGTTTTCGATTTTCGATTAGACAAATCTTCAACAAACGATTATACTTAATAGATAATACACGTTTGGGAAAAATACATAATAATATTAATTACACGACTGAAACCGAGGAAAACACGAGCGTCCAGCCTATGTATAAGGTACATCCATAATAATATGGTTTGACGGTATCTTGGGAGTATTTTCGGCGCGCGTGAAAACGAAAGCAAAACCTTCACCTGTCCACCGAAAACCATCGTTTCCCTTTCAGATCTTTCACCGGCGCGGCGCCACTTTCACTCTAAATACCTCTCCGTGACAGGGCGACGACCGCGTTGTAACGATTAGCACAATTTCGAACCGCACGTGTATAGTACACGGGTATTGCACCGAAATGCATTTTGCAGACAAAAAACATTATACTTGGATGACGACGAACGCGAGTGTTGCTTAATATCAATATACTAAATTTTAATTTTTCTTAAGTAATAATAAGGGAGATAACAATAAATCATTATATTTAGGTATTTACCTAAGTCCGGTATGGAGCTTGTCGGTTCCTCGGAGAGCATCGGAGGGCTTCGGCTGTACTCCGTCTTGATCGTCAGGGTGGCTGCCGACGGGACCGGCTTGCACCGGGGGCCCGGGGCCGCGGGTGGGCGCATCGTAGCCGCTGAAGACGACGGCGGGGCCGGTGGCAGCGAACAGCGTTGCTGCTGCTGTTGTTGTTGTTGCTGTTGTTGTTGTTGTTGTTGTTGTTGTTGTTGTTGTTGTTGTTGTTGTTGTTGTTGTTGTTGTTGTTGCAGCTGCAGCTGAAGGTGATGGTGCTGCGCGGGCGGAGACGGTACTCCACCGCTACCTGTCGAAGACGACACGACGCCTGGCGATTGCGGTACGCGAAAGTCACCACCGTGTTGCTGCTGTTGCGACGGCTGTTGTTGCTGTTGCTGCTGCTGCTGTTGCTGCTGTTGGTGTCTTTCGGCGCTGTACACGTGCATCAGTACGCCCGAGCTGGTGACGACTTGAGACAACTGCATTTCGACGGTTCCAGCGGGGGTGGTGTAAGACGAGCGTAAAAAAAAAACGAGACCGAAAAATTCGACAAAACAAAAAGAGTACGCAAATTAAAAAACCCAAACTCGCACACGATGATATGATATATATTATCAGAACACGAAAAGATTATTGCCACGATAATCATATAATTGTATCATCGCGATTCGCACTGCACGACGCACTAGTGGACGGTGTTCAACGGACGACGGCATACGTGTACGTACTCGCTGCGGTGGACGACAGAGGTAAACAGACGGACGGACGGATGATTGAGGGCGAAAAACCCGGGAACGATGGTATAAAAAAAAAAAAAATTGGAAAAAACGAAAAAACGAAATACAAAACAACACACTTCGCGCGCGCACACTGCACCGTGTGTACTCTCGTACAATCGTCGTAAGTAAATTAGTCGTCGGAACGCACGCGGCGTGCTGCTACCGCTGGCGGACCGGGAATGAAAGTGAGCGCGTGTTGCGGCAGTGGTGTCTCCCCGATGTGCGCGGCGGCGGCGCGCTCTCGCTACACCGTGTGCGTGCGTGTGTGCGTGCGTCGTGGTGTGCGTGCGTGCGTCATAGTGTGCGTGCGTGCGAGCCGGTCGTGCATGTGTACACTGTACGGGGGCCGCGTCGTGTTGGTTAGTAGGCCCCGCCGCCGGTTGCCATTCTACGTGTGCGTGTATTCCGTGTACCTTGGTGTTGGTGTATGTGTGTGCGCGCCCGCGCTGTGCTAGACCCCGACCCGCGCTAGACCACGACCCGCCAGCCATGGCCACCGCCGCCGCCTTACCAGGCCGGCTGTGTGCTCCGCGCACCGGCCGCCGCTGCCGCCCGTGGCCTTGTCCTTGAAAAGGCTTCTGAACCCTGACCGACGGCCGAGCGGGTCGTGCGGGGGCGCGAGGGGAACGGCGGGCCACCGCCGCCACCGATGCGCGCTTGCGCTCTACGCGCCGACACACACTTTTTCCCTTCGTCACAAACGCCGCCGCCGCCGCCGCATCCGCTACCTCGGTGCTCGCGAGCGTTTACCCACACGGTCGTCCGATCCCCTCCCCTTGAATATAATACGGCACGATAAAGCACGATCATAATAATAAAAATATACTCCACAGTCCACACACACACACACACACACACACACACACACGCATACGTGGTGCGGGCGCACTCGTGAACTTGGCAATCGGTTTACATCCTCCACTGACACCTCCAACGCCACCCACTCCTACCACCGCCCCGCTTCCACCTCCTCGACGAACTTGGTCCTCCAAAGTAATTTAATCGCCTCCCCCTCCCCCAGCAGTCTTGACTTATTACGGCTCTCGTGTCTCTTAATAATATTAAACGTCCCGCTCCACGTCATGTTTTTTTTCCGGTATGACATGATAATATAATAATATAATATTGTCCTGGAAATCTAAAATACAACATAATTATTAATTATGAATAATAGTGCATCACACAAAAATAGGTGACGATGACTGACCCACGTTCGTGTTTTCGGTAGGACGTGTTGCCGCGGCGACTAGAATTTCCTTTCGATTTTCTTCTCCCGCGGACATGATAATATGGCATTAGGTATTTAGGTGTATTATTACTTTACCACACTATGCTTGTTACATTATCTATCAAGGCGATTTGCTACATCATCGTTATGGGCACATTGTGAGTTATAAGTTTATGACCGACCTACGAAAGTGTTTATATACGTCAGAAAAAAAGTGAAATATCGAAATACTGTGTTGTAGAACGTCTGTCTCGCGTACCTGAAGTAAACGGTTTTCGAATAGACATCTTCGTATCTGACGTGTGTTATCGATAAAAACATGATTAGTTTGGGTAAATAATCGTCCCCGAGGATTTTTACTCTTAACTTTACTCATAAATCATGACCCCATAAGCATAGGTTGAAATTTGTCTTGGGGGGGGGGGGGGCAGAATTATATCAGAAATACAAAGCCTGATAATTATTATTTCAAACTAAAGTATGATAAAAAAAAACTTGTAAGGCAACGGATGAAACTAGGGGGGCTAATCCCCAAGCCACCCTAAATACGCCTTTGCCCATACGTTGTGTTATAATAATAATAATATTATTCATTATGAGACTTTTATGAAAACCTATTATTAGCCTAAATTCTTAATACACCAATATTCACTTGGATATTATATTGTAATTATTTATTATAAAGTATGGAAAGGAATATTCTCCGAAAAGATTATTTCCGTAATTATTTCTAATTTTACATCACTATACTTACCAGTTACCAACTATCCAACTCAAATAGTAAAATATTCTTGGAAACCGACAAGTGACGGCATTCGTACTTTCTGCGTTGTCGGCCGTCGGGGGACTCGGGTGTACACGATAATCATTCGGAAAAGTTATTAAAATAAATTTAATATAAATAATTAAATAACAAAGTTATATAATATTATAGTGTGCCTAATCGGCCTATACGATTGTCGTCGCTCAAGTTCAGTGACTGGAAACATAATGAATAAACAACATTGCTGCAACGCGATGGGTGTTTAGTCTTTACTTTTTCTGCGAACAACGAGTTGAAACATTAATTAAAAACAGACAGTATAATATTCGATTTTTGAACGTTGTGTCGTTCTTTGATGAAGGTGCCAAAGTAAGAAGCAGAATATCAGTCAGCTATATAGATACACTGTAAATTGCTTTTGGGGGTTTCATACTCGACACCTTAACGATCGTTATTAAAATTTATTGTATATTTTATAAACCTTGTTTTTATTATAATCTGTCCGCGGCATCTACGGCTGTTGGAGTCGTTGGACATAACGTTGCATTACATTATTAATATTCTTATGTAGGGTGACTGGGTGAGTAAGATATAAATAGATAACATATTATAGTTAATAATAGTAACATTGATCGAAAATAAAATGCAGCAGAGAATTAAATAAGTTAAAATTAAATAACATAGGTACTAATGTACTATTATACCCTAATAATATTATAACGGAGTTTTTATATTTTGTTGATTTATGTGTTTACGTAATACTTGTATATATTTGTCGATAAGGCGTGCTTCTGATAAGATTTGAGTGAGGTTGGGAATATTGTTTGGCACCGGGATTAATGATAGATTCTGAAATGGAAATTCTTAATTTTCTCCTCTCTTTGTCTTACTGAATTCTGTTATGATGTGTCTGACTGTATGAGAGACACCTGCTCAGCTTAATGAGCAAATGAGAGGGTCTTCTCTCTTCAATTAAATATAATATAGGTGAATAAGACTTGTATGTGCTAACGTTGTTGAAATATAACTGGGTAACTGTACCTATTCAATATAAATTAGACATGATCAAAAAAAGTCACGTCAGAAAATTTTTTGTGTGATTATAATTTATAACATTAAACTATGCATATTACACAAAAGACATAATGATATATCATCGTCAATTTTCTTCAACGGCACTATAGATTAGTAGCGGTATAAAATATGTTAAATTTATTTTTACCGACAACTTGCAATATAAATGGGTAACGTGCGAATTCGACAGGGCGAAAGAAGAAAAAAGAATGGAAATTTCATCTACTCATCCTATAACACGGTAGCTATAACGATATAGGCATGGTAGGCGGAAGCTATAATCACTCATAGATTATACAGTAAAAACTAAAAACATACTCTCATTGACTGTCTGTCTGTCTATAGTACTATTTATATATACCACGATATATTGTCACTGTGAACGAATAGTTTATTCTTTATAAAATTATACGTATGCTGTCTACAATTTTTTGGACGGTTAGGAGTGTATTCGTAATTATTGTCGTATTAGCTTATTCAATAATTCAATGCCAAAAAAAAAAGATCAGAGTTTAATTTTTCATATAAGATCAAATTAATTTTGAAGATAGTCTACCACACGTAGAATATTTTATCATGATATTCCTTCACGATTTGAGGTGATTGAACAGAGACCCTATTTTTATACAGTGTGTCCAAAAATCGAGCATAGGAAGTTCTTCGTGAGACGTTATTAAACTCATTAAATATGTTTCGACATCACTGACCGAATTCCCCCATGACCCGAGTAGGCGTTTTGTATATTATAAATAGCCATATAGAGCATGGGTAAATATAATATTATTATAAATTATAAATATAATAATAATAATAATAATAATATTATGAGCTGGGTATAGTCAATGACCTTGAGTAGTCGGCCTTTTGAAAAGTAAAAAGAAAATGTATTTTAGCTTGTCGAAATTTAAAACCGAAGGCTGATGAGTCCTGGAAGACAATAAATGTTTGTACCACTTTCACTCGAGCACTGTTCAACGACTCCGGTTGTAATCACATTCACGAGAGTGTTTCGATCATTTTTCCTTCAATGAACTCACTCGTCCCCTCTCTCTATATCCGTCTCTCACTACACTCCATAACACTCTCTCACACTCTCACGCAGTCTCTCTCTCTCTCTCGGTCTCTCTATCTCTCTCTAGCACCCCCTCTCTCTCATTCTTTCCGTTATTTACAACGAATAACAGCCGCATATACTATAGCTTGATTGTTTACTATAAAACATAAATATTGTTGTTATTAATATGTTTATGACTTTTTTTATGATTAGTTATTAGTTATTACATATTATATAAATACTTCAATCACAACATATTAATTTAAACATGAAAAGACACAAACACATTATCATATATTATTACACACATTCTTAATCACATTTATGTATAAGTGCATACCTATACATATTATCATAAATATATAATATCAACAATATCGTAGTTATTGATTAAATTAAAAACAATTTTATTGTGTGACTGTGTTGTCATTTAAGTATAATTATTGTACTTAGTACATTTTATATAATAATTATTATAGAAATATACATATAATATATTTCAAATGAGAAATATGGAAAAAAACTATTTAATTAAGTTGTAGTTTATAACAACAGTATAATAATGGTTATTATAAACTTTGGCTGAATAAAATCATTTTTAATAATTCAACATTCTATAATAAATCGTAGTTAACAATGGGTTGTTCAACCATAAAGTAGGGTCACTATAGTTCCAATTAAAATTTAACAAAACATAATACATTATATTGATAGGTAGGTATAAAGAAATATAGTTATAACTTATAACTTATAATTTATTGATATTTTATATTATATGAGTATGGTACGTTATAGTGTTTGTATTTTACTATAATATAATCCAAATAACTAAAAAGTAATAACAAATAGAAAAATAATTTTATTGGGAAGAAAAATGCAAATATTATTACATTTTACTTTTGCGGAATGCATTGCACCACTTTGATAATATAACTAGTAAGTATGTGTAATGTTGTACGTGGTGTGAAATTTATTTTTATAATCTTAAGTGTAAGTAACTTTTTCCGGGCTAGTTCATTAAGTATTTCAAATGCGTTCTTTTTTCGGTCACCGGCTATGGCCGTATGGTA